TTTGTTTGATGAGCTAGTTTCTGACCACCGTGATATTACCATCCGGTTTGTTGTTTTAAAATAATATTTGTTTTTATGATTACGTAAAGGAAAAACTGAACACCAGAGGCGGAAGCGGTATCAAGTTTCCGGAAAATCCAACCTGTGGTTACATTTAGAAATTTGGACATTTTATCGTTGGATTAAATAATAGTAAATAAAAAATGCAAAACCTGTGTGGGCTATTTTAACATTAGCTTAAGTCTGTTGTCTCTGTACTTTTTGTGATCATGATCATACTCAGACGTAGGAGTCGTTCGTCATCTTGCTATCATTGATAACTTAAGTTATTATTTTACATATTGAACAGAAAGTTTTTAACAAGATGTAGGTACTGTTTTAGTGTTTTGTTTATATTTTTCTAGCGTCCTTGATTAGTGTGTACAAAAAAATAATTGTAGTAATAAATTATTTTCTTTGAAATGGTGTGCATACCTATCTTTTTATAAAAACATTTTATACTGCTATTGCGGATATCCGGTATAATCTTTGAACTAGAAAGAAGGAATGAATGCAATAAAATTGTTTTAACTTTCCTACTTTTATCAATTGAGCATTCACACGAGAAATGATGGTGGTTATTAGTCATTAAAAATATCATCGTGCAATTGAAGATAAAATTGTTGAACTTTCACTGCTGTTTCTCTGACTGATCTTTTTCTGGTCTATAAAAAATTTTAGGTGAATTTTGACGTAAGCTGATGGCAATAGTTTGATTGTTGGGTCATCTTGTTTTTATTCAGATGTTATTTCGCATAAATATTCAGTTTAGGAGGTCACATTTGTTTACAACAACAGCACGGATGCAGAATTTTATCTGAAATTTAATAATAAGCGTTCATTGCTGAGCAGATGTTTGATTTTTTCATTTAGGTATCTATGTTTTCCTGGTGGGTAATAAAATGAACGGTGAGTTGCTTCCCAATGGCGGACATTTACCGTCTAGAAGGCATTCACGGTTCGTCGACTTTCATGACTATGCCATTATTATTTACATAACGCGGATGGTTATTTAACACGGTGGCAAACGTCATCGGACGTCACGTGATCTAAATTTTGTCTCAAATGATGAGCGGAATTGTACCGGGTGTTGGCGAATCTTCCTATAATTTATTGTTGACACTTGTTTGAGGAGACTCCATATTTATAGTTGTGTTGCCTTTGTTGGCAAAGGTCGTTCAACCATTTTCCACGGGATCGATTTGCCAGAAAATGTGTCATTAAGGGTACACTGAAGGGCAAAATTAATGTCATGCCATTAATGAACAGCGCCAAAGCCAAGTTTTCGTGAGCCGAATCGTCTGGCACTTTTATTGACGTCAGAATCACGACATTATTATATTTATTGCCACTGAGTATTTATTACTATTTAAATCTCTTACAACTCGAATATTTTGTGAAAATATGTGACAATGTGCTACTTTGCTGGTCTAAATGAGATGAATTTCAAGTTATGTAATAGTCTGGTTTTAAATATACTTTTGGCGAGACAATGTGATTTTGAAACGGCCTAAATGTACTCCAAATCCAAAGCTGCGTTCCTCTTCTTCATGTTTGGCAAATTTCTGAATCGTTTACCACGACAACCTTGGCGAATTTTAGCGTCAATGAACGTTAGATGTTAGATGGAATAGATTTTTTGTTATCCAAATCTAAAAATACTTGTTTGCTTTTTTAGAAAGTAGAATTTTTGAAATACATACTTAGTTGCATGAAAGACGGCTCTGCGTTTCGCCCAAAATACCCAAATAAACATTGCATTACCTTTAAAAATAATAAACACGTGATTTTTGGTGTCGCAAACGCCTCTGTGTCGATAAAAATATCAAGGATGTTAAACAGCCAATGATTTGTTTTATATTGTGTTAAACATCAAACATGAGTACAATTTTTACACCAAACTGACGCAAAGGTAGCTTTTCTAAGAGTTCTTTGTGTCGCTGCCAAAATAAAAACATCTAAAACGAGGTTAAACGTCATTATTTAGGATAATTTCGACAAATTAGAAAATGCGAACGGGAAATCATATTTTTAACCACAGGACGATACTTTTGTTTTTGTTTGTGTTTCCCATTTTCACGAAGTGTATGACGCACTTTTTTATGCTACGAAAACAAACAGGACTAAAAATCATTTTTATGTGGTTTCCTTGGTTGACATCATTGTGATAGAAATTCTGTTTCAGTATTTATTTGAAATTAAAAGTAACTCATTGACACATACCTACCTATTTCTGGTAGTTTTATTTGGGATAGATTTTTTTGGAGAAAGTTTAGTAAACTTTAATACTAAATTTAGGAGCACCAAGTGGGTGCAGTATTTGTTTTTCTTTAAGTAATGGTCAAATTACTGCTTCCATTATTATTAGATGGATTCCATTAAACACCCACGAATAGAAAAAACATCTATTATGGGTATAGCTTTTACTCATTTGAGAAAATTGGGAGATTGAAATGATGGAAATTAAATATCTGTGGTCTAATCTTGTACCTACACAGATTTCATTATTTTCGAAGAGAAAACAGCCAACTGAGTAAAAGATTTGACATAGCAAAATCAACAAAAGGTTCAATTACGGTCTATTTTCCTTAATTTGGTGTATTTTTATTAGATCTGAAAGGACACGTGGCATGCATTACATATTATTTAGAATCTTGAGATGAATCAGAGTAGTAAAATTTGATTAGATTAAATACTAGAGATTTTGGATTTGACTTTTTGTACTTTGGGTCCATCGACGGTACTGTCAGTAGTCAAAACAAAAAGAAATGAGAAAAAAAAAGAATAAATAGTACAGTTGACCTTGCCACATGCCAGTGTTTGATCAAAATAGAAGATTATACATTTTGTTATCTCAAGTGTAAACAAAAAAGTACAACAAATATCAGAAAGGTTGTATTCATTTGATACTGTTAATAGTTGGGCCAACAAATCGACGCCAAACATGTATTTATTACAATTTTGTCTCTTACGTAATGTTGCAAAGATAAAATACCAGTTGATTTGTTGATAAGACGCTAATAGAATTCCAATATAGCGTGCTTGTGGGAATTCTCAAACTCTTCTCTGCATAGATATAAATAGAAATTCAATTAAGCCTTGGTTTTTGGAATTTCTCGAAAATCTATCCAATGTTTATTTTCGTAGTGTGTTAAAACAAATTTTTTATTAGTTAGATAAGTTTAGAATAATGAACTTGAAAATCGCATGCCTGGGTGCCAAGTGTGCAGAAAGCAAAGTTCGACCGATGTTTCCACTTTTTCATTGTAAAATGGGGTTATGTTATATTTCGGTTGCTTATATCGGGTCGTTCACTTGGGTGTTTTTCCAAGTTTTATTTCAGGGAGAAATTGGACACGAATGAAGTTTGGCTAATTATGATCTGATTTGGCAATGGAGATGACTATTTGTACTTTTTGTCTGTCGTAAACACAAACCTGGCGATTTCTCAGGTCTGCATTGGTAGAATGGAGTTCATCCACCTGTTTCTTCTTCCTTGTTCGCGCCATGATCCAGTTCGCTGACTTGGACATGAATATATTTAGTGTCTCTTTCCATCTTGTCGTATTTTACTAACTTTGCTCCTCTTCTCGCTCATTTCTAATTTTGTTGTTGCTAATAAGTCAAACAATGTCAAATTTTGTTGTGTTCAAATACCTATAAACACAAACATTAGACAGAGAGCTTCTCGGTGGTTTCTTATGGAGCCGACAAAACATGAATCACTTAAAAGAATTTATAATAAACAAACGAGCATTGCCAAGGACAACACAACGTCTTTTTTGTCTGTACTTTTGTTCGTTTCCTTCTTATTCAATCGTTATTTACTATAAAATGTAGTAATTGGGTATTATCTGCTCCTGCAACAAAAGGAATTTTCTTCAGAAACATTTGCAAAATCAAAATTTACAATAGTGAACAGTTGACTCACACATTGGAAATAGAAATATTAAAAAGTTGAAACACCTCAAGTCTACCTTTTATAAGAAGATTCTTCTACTTCAGGTTTTTAGAATTGTCCGAAATTCCCTATGATTCACAACTCGTTTAGATCAATAGATGATGATAATCCTTTATGGATTCACAATCTATTCATATTACACATAATGACATACTTTATTTTACTATATACCACTTATACACTGCGTTAACCTTATAGTTGTCACTAAAAAATGATTGTATTTATTATGATAGAATATTTGTTTTGTTTTAAATTCAAATTTCTGTAGACAGTCAGGTGCTACGTAACAATAAGTTTGTTTGAGTTAATGATTTTCATTTTAATTTGACTTTAACTATTGTGGATAATTTGGATCAGACTTTATAACAGATTTTGATGTATTTTTAGTTTGCCGTAATGTTGATTTTTTTCAAGTAACGTAACTACTAATAAATTTTATGAGGCATGATATTAATAGGTTCAAGTTGAACACAATGGATTTTGGAAACTATTTTATCTTTATTGGCGTGAACGTTCTAAGTTTGTTATAATACTTAAGAAAAGGCAGTTTTATGATTTATTAGCTCATTTTAAAAACTAAAAACTAAAAAATTGTTCAATCAATCGCTTATAAAAATTGATTACTTTTATTACATTGAATTTTCTGTTTAAATAAGGCAATTAATTTTAGTTGTAACATTAATATATTTTTTAATATCAAAAATAAATAACAAATTGAAAAAATCAATAAACAAATTTTAATTCATGCAAATCATAAGCGCTGTCGATGGTTGAACTGTAAATGTATATAAGTATTCATTTATCTACTATCTAAATAACGGTTGCAATGTCTTAAATTTTTCTCTGTGCAAATCATTTGTTACTTTGACACTAAAAAAACTTGAAACACAGTCATCAAACTACTAATGTATTCAAGCTAGGTAGGTGTTTCATAAAAAACTTAGCATGTTTTGAAAGATCAATAACTCATGAAACTCATGTTGTAATGAACTTTTTTTAGTGGAAAATTATGGATGGGTCCTGGGACTTTGGAGGTACCATTGGAATTGTTTGCTTTGAATCGAAGCCGTTTGGTGGAACGTATTCGTCCGAAATCTGGAGAATCTATAATTGTTCTTCAGGGAGGCAACGAAGTTCCCTTTTACGATACTGACACCACATACAATGTGTTTCGTCAGGTAGGTTTAAATTTTAAGATTTTTTAGCACTGGATTAAAACTTATCACGTTCATTTTGCTTATACTTATTTTGATACGATTTTCATGGTCAAGTTGACGATAAAGTTTTTCGAATTCAAGTGTTAGCCACAACAATTTTTATTTAGGAACTCATACGTTTTTATTTATTTTTGGCAATTCTCCACCAGGCCACTTGATTTACTGTAAAATTATCTATGATTAAAGGCCGTATTGTTCCACGGATTTTTTTAGTAAACGTTTGGGTTGTTGAACTTACTTTAAAGATATTTTTTCATTGGAAAAAATATTGTCGCGGGAACTCAATAAATAAAGATGATGTATTTTCTTGTCGGAATCATTTGACGCAAGCGTGTCCCAAGATTGTCTTACAGTTCGCCGCACAGTTTGTGGGATATATCGACGTTATGACCTTTGTATTGTGTTTATTGAGGTGTTTAAAACTTAGTTGCCGGTTATAAACTTATAAAAGGTTACAAGCGACTCGATTTGCCAAAAACCAGCGTTTATTTAGCATTTTAGTTTAGCCAGTTTTAGCAGTCAAATTCATACTAATCCGGTTTTTCCTGTATAACACAAAATAAAATAAATGCAGTAATTTATGTATTGTTAAAATTATTAATTTACATATGTTTTATTCAACACCAATGACAATTTTTTATATTTTAGCTTTTCAGCACAAGCGGAATCATCTTATTTTTTATTTATTTTTATAGAAAAGCTCTAAAAGGTTGTGGAAGACGGAATTACAATATTCTTTTGAAGTTTTTTGCGATCAATGTCATACTGCAATTAATGTGCTTTTGATGGAAAATTATTATTAGGTAAAGTCTAATCAGTTATGACTTTGTAAGTGATATATTTCTGGACCTGAGTCTTAAAAATTCCAGTCTCCATTTTCAATATTCAACACTAAAATTCCAGAGTTCATTTCTGTCTAAACAAAAAAGACCAATCTTCTGTTGGAGGTATTCACATTTAAAATTATATTATATTTCATTATTGTCATGCTTTTAAAACTTGCATTATTAATATCTCAGAACAATGAAAATAGAGCTTGGCTTTTTTAAGACCTCAGATTTATTATTTAGTGTTGATATTTGCCAAAATTTTTGGTTTTACTTATAAAGATTTTGTTTTTTCCACAGAAACTGCACTTTTATAAAGTACTGACTGGTTCTTTTTTTTTGGTTTCTGTTTTGATAAGAGACTGTAATTGCGGTGACTGAAATTCACAAATATTTTGTTTTAGCACTTTTTGGTTGAATTTCTGTAAATGACTTTCTACTCTGTGTGTGCGTCGTTCTCCGAGAACTCTGTATATACAGGTGCGCCAGAACTCGCGCCCCAGAGAAAAATGTAAGATAATATACCAGGAACATGGAAATAATGTTTAAAAAATCTGTCAAAATATTTTGACATTTATTTATGCCTATTTAATAATACTGATGATCTTGTATATTTTTATAATTATTTAGTAAAGGTACAAAAATTTTCCCAATAAAAGCCACAAATAACCTTAAACAGAGTTGCAGTTTAGGATACAGCTTCCTTGTTTCCACTTCTAATAGCCTGTAGCAAAAAACTTGGAAAATTATTTTTCCAACAGAAATAAATATAGTCAAAGAGCAAAATTTAACCTCTTATAACTTCGAAATTTTTATAGATAAATTTTTTTAACATTTTTTCCATGCTTCTGGTATCTTACTTTTCTCTGGGGCGCGAGTTCTCGCGCACCTGTATAATTTGTACCCACTTTAAAGTAACTGTGTATCCGCTCGTTTATGATGTGTTTTAAAGGTTTTTTTTTTTTTAATAATATGTAATAAGGATAGGAGTTGAAACAAATGGATGTTGTATGCATAAAGACAGCGAATTTCTTACCTAATTCGAAATGTCCAGTCTTCTTTTTTTCGCAACCTCGGCTGTGTCCAGTCTATTCTCAACCATTGACTTATTCCTGAGTTCTTGTTTGAAATCCTATTCGCTCTTTATTTAACGATTTTATGAAACTACATTACACTAAAGCAAGAACCATGAATATCAAGGTCTTTAAAATAAATTACTTTTAAGTACTTTGGAGCTCTTTTATTTTATATATGAAACAATAATTATTGTTTTATCTTTACTAAAACGGACAGACCTCGAATAAAACATTACGTATTACGTTCTTTACTGGAACATTTTTACATAATGAAATCATTTTTTCATACAATTTGTTGAAGAGTCTGGAATCAGATCTCCAAGTCCAAGGTTTAGGTTCATATTTGAGCCTGCTGATTCCCAATTAGAAGGGATATCATACGTTACATGTGTTATTGCCCTATTGTCATCCTCCTGCACTGTTTTGAGTAATTTTTTTACAAAAGTAGTGTTTCGAGAACGTTTTGTCATGGATTTAGTAACAATACTTATAAACAAAATAAATATATATATTTTTAATTTTGGTGTTTTTCTCCATGCTTTTCTCCATGCCAGGGGTCTTAAAATTAAATTCTAATTAATATTTGGAAAGATGTAGTAAAGATGTAGATGTTGAAAAAATTAAACAATTAAAGCATTTTTTTGTCATCGAGTTTTTTATTTGAGTTTGCAATGAAACAGCACAGAATCTGGGAGATCAGGTCTGAATATACCATATCAGATTGGTATTTAAATAAATTAATAATTCTAATCAACGCCTCTAATCTAAAAATTAGGCTCATGCAATTCCTTGTTTATAAACAATGATGCAATCATGTAATCAAATCACACCTTTTTTCCATGCATATTTTTGATTGCGGAAAATGATAATTTCGTTACGGAACATTATTAATCGGCTTAAATCGCTTGACTAATAAATTATTGATTTGCGATGGCTGACCTGTTTTAGCTTTTTTGTGGGGGCTCCTAATGAAGGCCTTGACAATGCCTGCGAACCAGCCCTTTTTATCTTTTAATAAAATTGCTTTGTTTATTCGCCTTGAAAGCCTATTTGTCTTGTTAAATTAAAATTTGTTTGTTTTGTTTCAATAAATACAGTTTTACATTGCAATCTAAAGAGACGATTGATTAGGTATTGCGTCAATTTTCAACTACGTAACCGTTTCTTGGATGTCAGAATACATTTAATTTAAATCCAAATTAAATGTTTTCTTTTGTTTATTTCGGCACTTAATCAACGCGCAAGTCTTTGTTTCCATAAGAAAGGCCTTCTAAAGTCACGTTTGACCATAAATGCTGTTGTCCGCTTTGTCATTTCGACGAAGATGTTTTTAAAAAGTTTGTTTATTGTTGAATTGTTATTGTTATTGTGTTTGCAATGGGGGAAATGCTAAAAACCGCAACAAACAACTTAAAGTTCATTGTATTGTGCGGAACATACCTATATAAACATTATTTGAATTTGCGAAATAGCTAGACTTGTTAATTATTTGTGTGAACGTTGCCCAATTCTGCAACTTTCTACTTTACAAAGCCTTTCTTTTGGCGAACGTAAACGTCAGCAAATTGCGAGCATTGACCGTGGGTAAAGTAGGTTACACACCCAAACACTTCCAAAACAACAATATGCAATGCCATAAAATTCCAATTATCTATTATTAAAATTTTGCTCGTTCAAATTTCAATAAAACGAACAGTTCAGTATATTATTTGTGTTGCAAGATGTTGTCGATTAATGACCTTTGTCACCTGACAAGTGACATTACGAAAATGTTTTGTTATTTAGGCGGAATTATTGTCAAGGTGCTTTATGAGTGTGTGTAACGACATATTTGATTTGAGGCTATTCGATGACCTTTTCTCTCTATAATTTTCGACCTTCTCTAATAAGAATGAGATATTGGCATGGGAGGCAAAACTGCAACACATTGTGCAACCTTAAAACAAGACAATAGAACTACTGATGACTAACATCTAACATTTCATGAAATGAACTTTCACATGACTCCTAACTTGGTACTTTGTTTTTGTTGTGTAGGTACATTTCATTTTGTTATTGTAAACAAATACTTGAAATGATTTAAGAAAGCGTGACAGTTTCATTTCTACTCAGACGACATCCTGTATTACATATACTTTGTTTATTTTGCTTCTTATCTTGTTTATTTTTTTTTTAACTTAAAAACACTCTTTATTGCTTGTTATAATTTGTACTATTTTATACAGGGTGAGGATGAAACGCCAAGGTATATTAAAAATAATAACTTGAGTAATTTCTATTAGCTCCTATTATTCACACAAAAATAAATTTCGAAAAAAGTTGCTCGGAGAAAAAAATTAATCATTTAAGAAGTGAAATACTTTCGGCTAAATTAGGATGAACACACTAAAAATTCCAGTTTTCTAATGTTTCAACAAAGCTTCGTTCATCAACTTAGTTTACGAATTAAATAATTGTATTAGTTAAAAATGGTTATTATGTAGTTTGTACCACAGTAAAATAAATCCATGTGTACCAAATTTTTTCGTTCTCCCTGCATACTTTCCATCTCGGCTTCACAACAGAAAATGTTGATTACATGACTTCATTTATCACCACTGCTAAGTTTAATTTGATTTTTTAGGAATCTTACTTTATGTGGGCTTTCGGAGTGATTGAACCAGGATGTTACGGTGCCATTGACGTCAAATCAGGAGAAGCTTATTTGTTTGTACCTCGATTTCCGAAAAGCTATGCTGTGTGGATGGGACCACTGCATTCTCTTGAAGATTTTAGTAGGAAGTATGGTATTCCGCATGTGCATTACGCTGATGAGGTAATTTTTTGTTGTTAAACAAAAATAGTATTTAGTAGTTGAATTAAAAAAAAATGTTAAATTTATCCTTGACACAAAGAACGGTACCTACATGCTGTGCAAAACTGATTACGGAGCGTAGGAAAGGATCAAGAATAAAAATGTGAAAGTAAAACATAAATCATTTGCAAGAGATATTGGCACGGCTTGAATGTCGTAATTTGGGCAAAGTGAATAAATTTATATTGTCACGATAAGTTCTAATTTCCAAACATGTCCATTCATTTGGTTTTTACAATTACATCATTTGTTATGTTAAACCAGAATCGTTTATTTTGTTTACAACAGAGGGTCTATTGCACTGTTATTATTTTTACTGTTGCTTGGAAACATCCTGTTTATTGTTTTTAATAAAGTTAAGTGGATTTCGGTAAGTAAGTGATAGGGCATAGCCGCATAGGTCGTTAAGTACTTATTATCACGACAATGTAAACAATAATAAAGGATTTAAAATTAGGTCAGGTCGTCTCATAAACAGATGTTGAAGTTATGGCAAAGATTAACAGTATCTAGAAAAAGATCCAAATATAGAACATAAGTATGCATGTATATTTGCAGTAAAGCATGCGCTATTCATTCCATTTTCTAATTTTAATGTAAACAGAGATTATTTTCATATAATCCATATCTGAATTAAAAGTCATAAATAGGTGACAAATGTTTGAGTACTGAAACCCTGCTTTAACTTCGCTCTGATTTTTTGTAATTATTTATTGGTACCGATATCCTGGTATATGGGGGTGAGTTCTGCTTAGGAAATGAAAAAAGCGTCACTCTTAAATCTTCTAAATATTTGCTTTTATTAAATTTTGACAGAAGTAGGACACCTCATTAAACTCATAAATAAAATTGTTTTACCTTCAAATATTGGCGTGTTTGCTTGTTACATCATTGCATCAGGCATCAAACTCCCCAATAATGTGCATTTGCAATTTTTTTCATTCGGTTATTTGCTGAAAAATAAAAGTGTGCACAAGCGCCAAAAACCACCGTTGCCATGAAACTCATTGATTCACCCTTTTATTTAACGAACTGAACACAGGACATGGTGTTAAAAAATACGCAAAAAGCTTTTTCGGTGGATGGAGTTGAAACGTCGTTTAATTTTAATTGCCATTTTTTTACAAAAATAGTCGCCGCATTTATAAATCAAGGAACTAATTCATTTTTTTTATCTGTGGATCCGGATGGATTGGAAAATTTTTAATGTTTGGGTTTCAATTAGTGAGAATTGCAACATAAATGCGGCTTGCTGAAATTGCAACATTCTTTAAAAATAACCATCCGGTCCAGATTTTGCGGATAGCGCGTTAATATTGTAATTTACTCGACGGGTCATATATTCGACCCTTATGTTTAATCTCGGGGAAAAAGTTTGATTTCGTTTATCAGTTGCATTATGTATGTAGAATATGTAGTTAAGATAAACATTATTGCTTCTGTTTCTGTTTTCTGTTTCTGTTATCACATTTATACATTTATCATTATCTAAATTAAAAATATAATTGTGATTTAAAATCAGGTGTATATACGTAATTTGTTAAAGTCAAATGATTCATACTGTTATTGATTAAAAATGTTGTATTTTTACTAGAACGTCAGTACGTTTTGAACAAGATATGATCTGTTATATCGTTGATGATCCTTTTAATAGAAGAAATTCTAAATTTATACATCTGAAGTGGATACACGCGACGTGGTTTGATACCAGCAAAACAAAAAAAAAACGATCACTAAAAAAAATTAATTGTTTACTTATCGCTAAATAAATTTAACACAAAAGCTGTATTTAAATTAAAACTGGCATTGACTTTACACTGATAAAATTTTAAACTTAATTGTACAATTCTTTAAATTATAGATTTGTTATTAGATTTTATTGCATTGCTATTTTTAGACTTTCTGTAGTTATCCAGCAAGTTGATACGTCGTTAACATTCAGATTCTCTCATATTTGTTTGTTTTAGATCGTCTTTTTTCTAACAGGGAAATCGTAAAGCTAGAGAACTAATAAGCCTTTTTTATTTTTTACCCAACAAGTGAATATACTTACTTGATTTGCAAAAATAGACGTTTTATGGGTAATGATGTTATTTCCCTTTTTATGTAACAATGATGAATGCGTTTTTGTGATGTTTAAACTTATTAATGTAACTTTAGCAGCAGCAAATAATTTTTAATTATATTATAAATTAGAGCAAAAAATATATAACAGTTTTTATTTGGAGTATGTTGTAAAAATGTATCGAAAATCTTTCTAAAATTAATATAATTTTTAGTTTTAAAATAACAATATTATAAAATTATATCTCATTAAATGTAAATAAGTTTCCAACTTACTACTTCTAATGATTGTAGCACTAATTGTAGTAAGAATTAAAAACAACCGTTAAGCAAAAACTTTTATTTGGACTATTTTGTTTTTGTTATTTGTTTTATGTACCCTATATATGTACATACATTGAAAATATATCGTGTATAAATAAGATAATTTTTCCTAGAAAAATATATTTTAGTTGAGGTGTGATGTTGTAAATATTTACCTGACATTCAGCTGATAATGATTTTGTTATTATCAGTATATATATAAAATGTTACTCCTGGATCAGGGCATAATTATGCAAAACTCATTGGAAAACAGCCCAAAAAGGACATGAAACGACCAAGAAAGAGCCCAAAATCTTTTTAAAAAACGTAATATTTTGACACTCCAAACTACTCCAATAACTATAGAGACCAAAAATTGGGCACACGAAAAAATCGTTGAAAATCACCAAAAATCAAACCTCAAAATGACTTTTACTTCTGGATCACGATGAAAAATCGCCGAAAAATTCACCGATTGTGATGTTGGTGAAGCAAAATTCCTTCAAAGTATTCCTATAGTCTTATAGAAACTATAGTGATTTTTCAATTTTTTTTGTCCAGTTGGTTTAGTTCAGAAATGAAAAGCTGTTTTGGGGTGTTTGAAAACAAGGACTTTTAGGGTGCTTTTGAGGAAATTTTGCTTGATTTTGGGTGATTTTCAACGACTTTTTGTGTGCCTATTTCTTGGTGGTCAGTAAACATTAGAGTATCTATTTTGCGGTGTGGTTTCATGTTTTTTTAGGCTGTTTTTTAATTACTTTTGCTTGTGCCAAATGCCCTGATCCAGAAGTAACATTTTATGTACTACTGTTATGAAATACATTACATTCAATAAAAAAACAGAAACAACAACATTGATTAACTTTTGTCATTTTTTAGATTGCATCTGTTTTATCCAAATTAAATCCAAGGGTTTTGTTGACATTGGTAAGTAAAATACTTAATACATACCAGGTAATAAAAAGTATGGAACCAAACGTTTTTTGCTTAAACTATTTATTTTTTGAAAAAACTAATTGATGAGTGATAAAGTACTATAAAAATGTGATGATTTAACAAGAATAAAATTTTTCGAAATTTTCTTTTGTTTTTGAGTTCTTCAAAAAAAGAAATTTTTTTAAATGGCAACCCACTATAAAATCATTCTTCTCATAAAAGCTATACTCTAAGGATTACAACTATCTGCTTTATATTTATTTTTTTCAAAAATTTTTTTTCACATAAATTGCAATTTTGACAAAAAAAATCGCATAACTCAAAAACAAAACAAAATTTCGTTCTGAAAATACGATCACATTTTTAATATTACTTTAATTTATATTAATTATTATTTTCTGGAGGCAAATGACTAAAAATAACACCGCTTGGTTCCATACTTTATATTCATCCTGTATGTAGTGTTCTTCGTTGACGAACTACGACAAACCTTTTAGAAAGGACAAAACTCTGATAGTGGACTAATAGCGAAAGAGGCCGATTTTGAAGGAATTTCCAAGTAAATTCGGTATACATATTTTCAATTTTAATTACTTACGCTTTGTGGTTTCAGGTTTAAAGTTGATAATGGTTTGCTTTTCGATGAAATAGCTGATTTGTACGTATTTTTGATATTTATCTGATATCTAAACAGATTAATCTTAATTAGGAGAGTGTATAAGACGGACTATGAAATTTCCGTTATGAAATACGTGGTGGAGACATCCTCAGCGGCCCATCGCAAAGTGATGCGTTTTGCTAAAGCTGGCAAAAGCGAGTATCAATGCGAGTCAGAATTTTTGCACCACTGCTACAGCGTAGGGGGTTGTAGGCAGGTTTCATACACTTGCATTTGTGCCTCCCATACAAACGCTGCGATTCTACATTACGGACACGCTGCTGCTCCTAACGATAGATTCATCAATGAAGGAGAGCTTTGGTATTAATAGACCCGATAAAAAACCTAAGTAATAGCTCAATAAAATTGCAGTCTTTTCGATATGGGTGCCAACTATTTCGGTTACGCTGCCGATATCACTTGCACGTTTCCGGTCAGTGGCAAATTCAATCCCGATCAGAGATTAATTTACGAGGCCGTTTTGAAATCGAATTTAGCGGTTTTCGACGCCGCTAAGCCGGGATCTAGTTGGGGAGAGATGCACGTTTTGGCGACTCGCACGCTTTTGGAGGAACTGAAAAAAGGGGGGCTTTTGAAAGGGGATGTTGATGCTATGGTTACGGCAGGATTGGGGGCTATTTTCCAACCGCATGGGTTGGGGCATCTTTTAGGACTGGATGTGCACGATGTCGGTGGTTATATTACTGGCCAGCCGACGAGACGGACTGAACCGAGAGGAATTGAGAAGTTGAGGACTAACAGAGTTCTACAAGAACGAATGGTTTTAACAATCGAGCCGGGATGTTATTTTGTCGATATTGTAGGAGCTATTTTTTTAAAAATTATTTTTTATTTTAGTATTTATGGTTCCAGTTGCTTGATGAAGCGCTTGCGACTCCGAACCTTGCCCAGTTTTTGGTAGCAGACGTTGTTAAGAGATTCCGGGGTTTTGGAGGCGTTAGGATTGAAGACGATGTTCTTATTACAAAGGATGGGGCCGTCAATTTGACAAAAGTTCCAAGAACGTTAGTATTTTTACTTATTTTGCGACTGCTAATATTTAGAGCAGAAATTTTACCAACTACACTATTAATTTACAATTATTTTTAAGTACCTATTTTTATTGAAATTATTTAGACTTGTTTTTTTTATTATTGTTGCGTGTTTTTGTTCTTTATTTGCAATAAGTGTTGTTGGTAGAATTTTGTATTGAAATTTGAGGAGACATTTCGTATTACATTGTTTTTTAGGGTACAAGAAATTGAGGACTGGATTGCCGGGAAAGACGACAATAAATATAATTAAAGATTGATTACTTTCAATAATAATGTATTGCTTTGAATCAATTTTAATAAAGCTTACCTGTTAATATCGCTTTTTTGAACCTTGAATTTTTTTTTAATGAAAAACGTTGATAGCAAACTCTATCAGGTAAAATGAAATTAGATTTCGTCTGGAAACTTTATTATTCAATTATCATCATTACATTATTTATTCACTAGGCATACATCAGTCATTGAAATATAAAATAAGTACTTAAAATAATACATGTTAAACATAGTTTTCGAGTAGATAATTTGACAAGTTAAACACTAAGACTAATACTAAAAATACACTAACTTACATAAAAAAATAAAATAACGACCAGCGTTGTAAGTGCACTTAGCGCCTGGAGCATCCTCTTCTTGGAGCAGCACAGCAGTCGCTGCTATCGGTGGTGTCGTAGTCTGAAGAAAAGAAGCTGTCGGAAGTGCTATCAGAGCAGCATTCTGAGCAGCTGCACGTCTCGGAACTGCTGTAATCGGAAGAGGAGCTGTATCCGCAACGGTTGTTGGTGCGGCGGCGGGTTGTTTTCTTGTACTGTAACAATAAAAAAAAATTAACTTTGAGAAAATTACAGTAAGGAATAGTATACCTTTCATACCTTCGTACTTGATTTGGTCTTCTTAGGCCCACAAGAACCACAAGGACCGCAAGGAGAGCATGGACCGCAAGTTTTTCTCTTCGTTGTAGTTTTCGTTGCAGATTTTTTCGCTGCCGGTTTCTTGACCTTGGTCGATGATTTGGCTTTGGATTTTGGCTTAGGGCAAGAAGCACAAGAACGAGAAGAGCAACCAGGCATCCTATTAAATGAAATAATAATTACTTTTCTTCAAGGAATTAAATGTGAATTGTGAACTCACCTGAATTAATACTTTTGATCGTCTTTACTGAGAAACGTGCACTATTACTGGAAAGTTCTTCACCGTTGCTTTTATACCCTTTAGGTTTTTTGGTGAAAGATAATTTGAAAAAACTGATAAAAGCAGTTTTTCAATTTGAAACAACTAGGGATTTTTGTATTGTTAAATTGGCTAATTAAGAAAAAAATATATTTCTCAAACTAACTTTCTTAAAACCAATTTAATTTGTATAAAAACACAAATACATTTTATTGTGGGCTGTAATAAATTACATTCTGTAAGTTGTGATTTGAAATGTTTTGTATTATACTAAATTGATGATCTTTGGCTAGGGGGCAAAATATGTTGGTAGCATTGCGTTGTTGTTAAAATGTCAATATATTGTCAAAAAGGCGCGATTTTGTTGTGTTACCTTCTAATGTCCACTTGTTTTGTTTAAAAACGATTTATTTTGTGTTGTCAGTTAAAAAATTTGGGAAAAAATGTCGAAACGGTTTAGTACGGGTCAAACTAACACTCTTTTGAACTATTTTCAGTCACCTAAAGCAAAAAAAGGTACTGAAGTCAAGCAAGACTCTGCCCAAAAAAGTGTCTCTGCTACTAATGGTTTGTATTGAGATTTGTATTAAACTTTGCTGTAACATTGCTCTAACTAGGTAAGGGAGATGTGTCTCCTAAAGCAAAAAATGGTACTGAAATCAGGCAAGACCAAGACTGTACCCACAAAACTAACTCTGCTACTAATGGTTTGTATTGCGATTTGTATTAAACTTTGCTGTGACATTGCTCTAATTAGGTAAGGGAGATGTGTCTCCAGTTCAAGCTAAGAAACGTAAAAAAATGGCAATTATCGACAGCGACTCTGAAGATGAAAAGTTACCAGTTCAACCGACCCCTAAGAAGAAGAAGAACGTGAAGAAACGGCCGGTGAGCGACTCAGATGGCGAGTCTTCAGGCAGTGACAGCAAACCTAGAGAGAGGAAGTCACTAAAACAGTTCACTTTTGAGAAAAGTTCTGAGACTACAAAGATAACTGATGAAAATGCAGCTAAAGCAGCCCCAGTTGTTCGCGACATTAATTCCAATTGGTTACACAACCGGTTAGACTTTTTACAACCTGATAAAATTCGCGATATTAACAAGAAAACACCGGATGACCCCGATTATGATTCTCGCACACTTTACATCCCTCAAAGCTTCCTAGACAAACAAACTCCAGCAATGCGTCAATGGTGGGTTCTGAAAAGTACACACATGGACTCAGTTTTGTTTTTCAAAGTGGGAAAATTCTATGAACTTTATCATATGGATGCTGTTGTAGGAGTCACACAGTTGGGTTTTTCTTACATGAAGGTATTTTTCTATATATTATCTTATTTGAATTAACGTAATTGTTACAGGGGGAGTTTGCCCATTCCGGCTTCCCTGAAAGTGCCTATCATAAGATGGCAAATGCTCTAATTGAGAAAGGGTTTAAGGTTGCAAGAACTGAACAAACTGAAACTCCTGAAATGATGGCGGAAAGGTGCAAAAAACAAGGAAAGACAACTAAGTTTGATAAAGTCGTCAATAGGGAAATTTGTCAAATTTCAACAAAGGCTACTTGTGTATACACTGCACAATTGCCTGATGCTATGCATTCGCAGTCTTGTTACATGTATGCTATTGCAGAGAAGGTCTTTATTTCATTTAAGGTATTTCACTTTTATTCAATTTGGAATTTTTAGGATGTGACAGGCTTGCAAAGAAGATTTGGAATTTGTTTCATTGATACGTCTATTGGGATTTTCAAAATGGCAGAGTTTGATGACGATAAACATTGCTCAAAACTACTAGTTTGTCTTTCAGAGTATCCACCAGGATTGGTAAGTTGTCTCTTCATTTATTTTTCTGGTGGCTAAATGATTAAGGTGTATAAACCTAATTTTAGATCTTAACTGAAAGAAAGAAGATGAGTTCAAAATTAAAATTCATTCTAAATTCTCACTACAGAGATATCAGAAGAGAAACATTGGCTCCTGAAAGTCAATTCTACAGTGCTAGTACCACTGTTGAAAAACTAATGAATGGAAATTATTTTCGTAATGAAAGTAATGAAATTTGCTTGCCTGAATTCCTTAAAAATGTCACAAATGGATGTACGTTTTTCCAGTTGTTTCTTTTTTTTTATACATACATAATATTTTAGATAACGCTCAACCAGAGTATGAGTTAATGATAAAAGCATTAGGGGCGTGTTTGTGGTATTTACATGATTCCAAACTTGATATTCAAGTAGTTTCACTTGGGAAATTCGAGATTTACCAACCTTTAAGTATGAATGTAAAAGAGCAATGTTCTCGAAGTTGTATGATTTTGGATTCTGTAACGATGGTCAATTTGAATCTACTGGGTGAAGAAAGTAGTTTACAAAAAACATTGGATTATTGTCAAACTGCTTTTGGCAAAAGATTACTGACACAGTGGATCTGTCGACCTTTGTGCACCGTTGAGAAAATTAAAGAACGACAAGAAGCTATACAAGAACTGGTCAAAAATACATCCTTGTTAAAGGACGCACAAGATATACTCAAAAAATTACCAGATTTGGAACGACAGTTGGCTAAGTATGTTGACGATTTAATTATGATTTTTGGTTATAGTTTTTCTTTTTAGAATTCATACTTTTGGTAATAAATATTTTGCCCAAGATCATCCCGATAGTCGTGCTGTTTTTTACGAGGCTGCTACTTACTCAAAAAGGAGGATTGCTGATCTTTTGAAAACGTTACAAGGATTTGAATTGGCACAGAATTTGTGCCCTCTTTTTAAAGGTCAATTAGACATTTTTAGTTTTCAAATATTAAATAATGTTTTTAGGTTGTCAATCTCCGTTACTCAAAAGGTTAACTCAATTTAAACCTGATGGAATGTACGTTGATTTAACTGAATTATTATTGTTCTTTAAGGTGAGGTGATATTTACATCAAATAAAAATTAAATTTTTGTTTTATTTTTAGAATGCCTTTGATCAAGAAGAGGCTCAGAAGGAAGGAAAAATCATCCCAAAACAGGGAGTTGATGAAAATTACGACCGAGCTCAAGACGCCATAAAAGCAGTAACGAAAAAACTTGATGAGTATTTGGTAGAACTGCAACAAATGTTTGGTTGCAAAATTACATACGTGGGCACGGATAAAAAACGTTTTCAAATAGAAATTCCTGAAAGTCATACGAAAAAAGTAACAAATGAATACCAACTTGAGGGAACAAGAAAAGGGGCTAAACCAGCAAAACGTTACTCTACAGCAAGAAGTCGAGTATGTTTGATTTCTTTTTTACAGTTATTTAATTTTAAAGTGTAGCAACTTCTTGCAGATATGATGAAAGCAGAAAGTGAGAGGGCGAAAGTTGTCCAAGATTTGAACCGGAGAATTTTTGAAAAATTTAGTCAAAAGTTGTGGTCTCTATTTTCTTTTTATTTGACTAATTCAAAATTTTAGGCGCGATCAATGGGAGCAAGCGATTGAGTGTATTACTGTCTTGGATGTTTTATGTTCTTTGTCTCAATATGCTTGCAGTTTTGGTCAGGATATATGTATTCCAGAAATTGAACCAATGGGAGACACAGTAAGTGACGAAGTCTTTGGTATAACTTTTTTAATATTGATTTTTGACACAGAATAAAATTATTATTGAAAATGGGCGTCATCCTTGCATTCCAAACATTGATAATTTTGTTCCTAATGATACTAAAATGGGAGTTGGTGATTTTGCTAATATTTTACTCATCACTGGACCCAACATGGGTGGTAAATCAACACTGATGCGTCAAATTGCTATTATTTGTATTATGGCACATATGGTATGAATAATCATAATCGAGACTACAGAGAATTTAAAAAGCAATACATTGACTTTCAGGGGGGTTACGTGCCTGCATCCAGCTGTACAATATCTTTGATTGATAGGATTTTTACCCGTTTGGGGGCTCATGATGATATTGTTCAAGGCCAATCAACATTCTTAGTAGAACTATCTGAAGCTGCAGTTATTTTGCAGCATGCGACGCCACATTCGTTGGTCCTACTTGATGAATTAGGTAGAGGAACTTCTACTCATGATGGAAATGCTATAGCTACTGCCTATGTAGAAAAACTGACTACGATTAATTGTCGAACACTGTTTTCTACGCACTATCACAGTCTTGTGGATCATTTTGAGATGAGGAAAGACGTGCAGTTGGGACATATGGTAACTTTTGATACGTTTTGTTCTGTTTTTATTTATGTTTGTAATAAATAGGCTTGTATGGTCGAAAACGATGACGATCCAACTGAAGAGTCAGTTACATTCTTGTATAAGATGGCTGAAGGGCGCTGTCCAAAGTCATACGGTTTCAACGTTGCACGACTAGCGGGATTGAAACACTGTATTGTTTCACGAGGTCGGGAAATATCCAAACAGTTGGAAAATGAAGCCAGAAATCGTAAACTTTTCAGGGAATTATTTACAGCTGATATTGCGTGTATTAGAACTGTTATGACAAAGTTATCACTTTCTTAATACACTTTAATATTTTTTTATATGCAACAGTGGATAAATAATTAATGCTTTTATGTTTTCTTATTTGTAGATGCAAAAATAAACGTCAAGTTAGTGAATACTGTTGATTAAGTTTGTATAGTTTCTCTCTCCTATTTGTTTATTTATACGATGTTGTTCTTGTTTGTGATCCTGTCCTTGAAACATATCTCAAACTGTAATTACTCCCTCTATGTCCTCTGAGGTCGGGTGAACAACAGGAGCAAAGTACAAGCTTGAAATTTTCTCTGAAGCTTTTCGACATGAAGCCATAAATAATTGGATTGATACAACTAAAAAAACAGAGTAAGTAACGTTTATCTTTTTTTGGTTTTATACCTGTTGAAGTATGCCAGTAAGTGAAACGCTATCGACATGTACTTGAGGAATCCGCATCGTATGTTGGGATGGATCTCAAATGCTGTTAGCAGATTGTCAATTAAAAGAGGTGTCCAACAAATTGCAAATAACACTACGACAGCAACAAGCATGTAAATTACTTGCTTTACCATGTTGCTGTCGTCGTGAGCGGGGTCTGGGGGCGGCGGGGGTTGTTTGTTTTCTGTTAATATGAAATTTTCAAGATACTTGTCTTCACTGTTGGTGGTACTGCGATTTCGGGAAAGCCTAAAACACATTTATTAAATCATTTCTTTTGTTAATTCCGTTTTCCTGAGGTAATAAACTACATTTTGTATAAAAAAATCGAAAGTCTGGTTTTTAAAATTTATTATTTCCAATCTTTTTTGTATTTTTTTCCAATAATGAAGTATTTTTTAAGATTTGTTTTACTTAAATTCTAATAAAGCCGTTAAACTTATAATAGCAATACCTGATCTGAATTCTAACATTCTGATCACTTAAAATAATTACAAGTTCGAACGATCAAATTAATAGTACCTAAATTACTACGGCCAAGAATGAGTCAAATAAATACAAATGTTCTGGTGATAGTCTTTTGATACTATTTTTAAAACATTTAATAAGTAAGTAATGTTTAATTTTTAAAACTAGTAAGTTAGATTTTAAAGGCTGGAATGTAATTATAAAATACACATAAATATTCTCAACTGATTTAAAGATCATTTTATGTAATACATAACTATTATAGGAAAAATTTGCTTTTTACAAATAATTGTAAAATTGTTTTATTTGAAAAATTCAGTAAGAAAGCAATTATTATTTCTATCGTTCGCTAACTTGAATATGGTGTTGTATTTATGTATTGTAAATAAATAAAATAGATAATAAAGCAATATCTGGACATATAGTTATATAGAAACATAAAGCAGTCATATAAAGATGAGTATTGTGGTAATTTCAAACAATGCATTATCATTATCAAATAACTATTAATACAACACTTTACGTCAACAGTTTTTATTCATTAATACGGTAGTATTATATTTATCACTTAGCACCGATTACACTGTGCTTACAGAGAATTATGATTGATTTCTTTTTTTATTTTATTATTGCAGTAAAGGTTTTATAAAATTTATTTACCTATTTATTTATTTGAACGAAAGGTTTTGAGAAGGTTGAATTTTTTTAAATGGGGGTATGTCCAGAAAATCGCGCACCTCCGTGACACTATCATCGCGCGATGCCCTAGACAACAAGACAAATGTTAAAAAAAAAACATCTATAAAAATTTCGATGTTATGAAAGTTTAAATTTTGCACTTTGACTCTATTTATTTCTGTTGGAAAAATAATTTTCCAAGTTTTTTTGTTACAGGCTATTAGAAGAAGAAACAAGGAAGCTGTATCTTAAATTGTAACTCTGTTTAGTGTTATTTGTGGCTTTTATTGGCAAAATTTTTGTACTTTTACTAAATAATTATAAAAAAAACATACAAGATTATCTGTATCATTAAATAGACATAAAAATATGTCAAACGTCAAAAATATATCTCAAAATTTTTTTAACATTTTTTCAGTACTCTCGGGGACTATCCAATTACTCCTTTTCAAGGAAGTGCGCGAATTTTGAGACACCTGTAGGGCGGTGTTTAGACCTCTTTAAACTGAGATCTCATTCGTTGCCTGTAATTACAAACAATACAATACTTGAGTTGACTCGAGATTTTCGCATTTCTAACTTAGGTATCTTAATGAAAAGAAAATTGATAATTTTAGTGTAAATGAAAATTGAAAATAAAACATTTAGTATTAACATTGAAATAGAACAGAAGAATAAATGGAAAACATCATTAATGAGCAGAAAAAATAAACAAATAAAAAATTGAGTTAGAAGTTAATTATTAATAAATAATTTTTCGTGGTTATTTGAAGCACATTATTTTAGTTTTGAGTGTCGCTTCAGGAAATGATATTAACCTTAAAACTTTCCGTTCATCTCAAATATTTTTAGTTTGGAAGTGGAATAAACAAAAGTTATTTAGATTACTTGATTACATTAAACTTACACATGTTTGCTGGTCATAACCGACCTTCTTTCCATTACTTTCCAAACTTCGCAACAAATGGTGGTGTACGAAAAAGTCATAATAATAAATGGCACAATCAGTATTACAACAAGCATATAAATTTCGTGAAATCGCCAAACTTCTGTAGAATCCCAATCTTTTACACATATGTAGTATTCGGTAGGGTCGTTATTGTTAGACACTCGCATATGCCTCTAAAACTTTTTGAAATTTTTGTTGAAAGTAATTAGTTTGTTACCTGGGCAAACAGTGTTGGTACTGCTAAAATGAAAGACATCATCCAAATTACTCCAATTATCCGTTTTGCTTGATTGATTGTACAGATGTACTTGGCTTTCATGGGGTACACAATCGCGTAGTAGCTAAAAATCAAAATTTTTATTAACGGAAATGATAAGAAAGTTATTAATGAACTGATAAAATTGTTAGAATGTAGCTAATTTGATTAAAAGTTGAATTTTCAGCAGTGTGCTAATCTTTGACCTTTTTTGACACCGACACTTGCTTAGTCAACAGTCAGCTCTGAAAAAATCTTACCGTTCAATACTAATCGCTGTGAGGGTCATCACGGAACAAATTGCAGATATGTTTTGCAAATAATGGATCATTTTGCATACAAAAAATCCCATAATCCAGATATAGGAGAAAAGTTTGGCCAACTGTAAAAAACACCTTGTATAATATTGGCACTTTGTCAAATAATCTTCTTGATATTAAATTATGTTAAAAGCTTGTCATAAGTAAGCTCAAAGATGAAGAAGTAACAGTCATTTGCCTGAATAAACACTAAACCCATATCTAAACAGTGGAGAAGTTGAGGATATTTTTAGAAGGCTTTCAAACTATTTTTGCTAAGTGCATATTTGATTTTTATTCATAATTTAGCAAACACTTGGTTTATTGGTTTTAACAAAATCATCCCATGCATGTATTTCTGTCAACATCGTAGAAGCTATAGATCAAAATATTGTTCCAGATATTTACAACTTTAAATTTTTTAAATTATTTAACACAAGAGAGACTATTTTTGAAAATGTCATAGTTTTCTACATTCAAATTTAATCACACTCTAGGGTATCTACAAATATATTTTTTTTCAACAATGTCGGTTTTATTATTTTAGGAACATAATCAACTTTTTTACAAATGCCATTTGTTTGTTTGATTGTGTTTTATACTTTGTTTATTTATTTTTTGCTTTTTAAAATATGTATATTGTCACAGTCACTTTCTAGAAAATTGGATTGGTAAAACTGGAATTTGTTTAAATATTAAAATGAGCTGTTTTTAAAAGCAAATTACTAAGTTTTTTTGAAACAGAGTATTGTTAGTTTTAAAAATAGTAGAGATAAATGGGTGATTGAAGCAAAATGTATGGCCACCCACTGGTTAGAATTACAACAAATGAAAATGTCTTTGATTTAGTGATTTTTTGTCGGAGAGTTTTGTGCCGAAAATAGCATTTGTTGTACTTATATGCTAAGTCATTCACCCTATCAAAGTTTTCGATACAATCCATTAGAACAGGAATAAACAGAACCAATGCGAATGACTGAGTATTTAGTTCAGACGATTGTAACCCTTGACTGTTTTTTTCTTGAGAGTTTTAGATTGTATTGTTTTGAGTGTTGTAACAGTTAGCAAGACTAAAGCAAAAAAAAATTACGTCATTATCAAACATAATAAAACACATTTTTGTTCTTTAATTTTATTCATCTTCGTTAAGACTGAAATAAAATTTATTGGACGTTCTTGACATCACTGATGCTAACATTTTGCCAGTTTCTATTTTTTGTACTATAACGGATTAACATTTCTGAACTGAACATATTTGACAAAGTCGTTCTACAACTTTCTATATTTATTGATTTCATAAAGTTTAAAAATAATTTATCTATGCTTCTCAAATAGAGAGATTTATTTTAGTATGTTTGAGTTAGGTACATCAAGTGTGACTGAATCGGAAATTACATTTAAAATTTTTGGGTGATTCAACAGCTATTATTTATTATGTAAAATAAATGTGGAAATTACTAAACAAATTTGTAATTTTTTTAAATATAGGAAACAATATGGTACATACAATACCTAGAAAAAAAATAGAAAACCTATTTTAAAAAAATGATGTACTTATGTGTTTCACAATATGTATAAAATCTTATGGTAATAAAAGAGGTTAAATAAAAAATTACAAAGGTTGCATTAATGTATGAAAATGTTGTATAGAAAATTTGATTGTTAACTTCTCTTTTAATTCTTTTAAGTTATAAACAGCTTAAACTGTTAAAAACAAAAAAATCTGGAAAAACCTGGAAAATAATAATCGATATTTAACTATTAAAAAATTGTTGGAAATATTAATTTGAAATGTAAACTTTTTTGATCCTTTCAAATGAGAATACTTCATGCCAATTTACCTTATCTACACATAATAGTCCAAAGACATGTTCAAAAGGCACTTAATTAATTAACAATTCACTGCAAGCAGGGTTCAAAGTTTTTGGAATCTTGTAACAAGGAATAATTTTTTGATTTTACAATTTAAACCTATGTTTTGGGATAATAAACATTTTTAAAACCTTGTTTGCTAAATATCTAACTAATTATCAGTTGGTTAATGAACCACCCTTCAGGAATCAATTTAAAACAAGATCGATTTAATTTGTGAATATTAGGTAATCATGACAATATAAAAAAAATATCAAAAAATGCTTTTCACTGCCAAAAAGATGTAAAACCTTCAATAAACAAACAGAGCTGTTTTTGCTATAGGTACCTAATTGTAGCAAAATGCAAAAATAACTAGCAATTGCAAGTCTGTTAATTTGAGAATTAATTGAGCAGAACTGCATAAACAATATGGACTGTTTTATTAAACAGTAACCGTCTGTTTCTTGAGGGATTTATTATTCTGCTTAAAACAGTTCGGAAATAACTGTAAATTGAATAGTAGGTATTACAGGGTGTCTAATGGAAAATTCGAGTTGTTGTAATTATATTTTGTGTGCTTTTATTCTGTTGACAGAGTTAATTTGATATGCGTTAGAAAAGTTAACAGGTGAAGAGCATATGCTTTAATATTTACCTACCATAAGTGCACATAATAATGATCTCGCAATAATGATTAGTAACTTCTCTTTTTGCATAGTAACAAAATTTTCGTTTATGTTACACAAATATTGGCTTAATTGATGTTTAATTAATTTTTTCCTTTATCACTTTGTGTACATTTTGGATTGATTAGAGTGCAATTAATTATAAATTTTATCTCTCATTCATGTTTCCATTTGTTTTTTTTTATTTTGGATAAAATTCGAATTAATGAATTTCACCAATTACGTCAAAACTTCATTGATAAGTGACTACTCCTACCTTGACAGGGATGCAGATGATAATAAGGAGTAAATCGGCCGATGCTAGACTGGAAAGGAAAACATTAGTCACAGTTTGCATCCCTCGATACTGGAAAGTCGTGAAAATAATTAGGCAATTTCCAACTAGACCCAATACAAAAGTTACACTATAAACAACAACTGCCGGTATCAATTCATTCCAATCAAATATTGTATTGTTTATATCTGTTACGTTGTCAATAATATCATCGCACATTGTTATAACACGAAGGGAAATAAACTTAATTGGAGTTTCATTCGTTTACACGCTCCTCAAGGATTTAATCAAACTATTGCCCTTATTACGCGTCATTCAATCACAAACCACTTGGCTAAAATTTAAAAAATTTATTGCAAGAACTTCCAAAAATATCATCAGTTTACGATTTTTTGGGACTGATTTTAAATAAATTTTTATAAATTTATTTCATTTAAGTTTGTTTAAGTGCATATTGTTAAATTTTAACGTTTATTTGTGAAATCACACGTTTGGCACTACACTTTCGAGTTCTGTGCGATAGGAGCGGAAATCTTAAGGTATACTGTGGGATAGGCGTCGCGACGCTGATATATATGACAGATGCGGAACCTCAAAATACCCGCACTTCAAATTATTTAGGTACGTTTTGTCAATATAAAAACCACGTTAATGCTCTTACAATATACATAATGCGTGATCAACTGATTATAGGGACATAAATAGTATTAGATAAGAAGGTATGGATTATGCCAATAAATATGTAACATAACAATTATTACGAAGGACGCATCAATAAAAATAAACAGACCCCCTTAAATTATTTTACTTAATAAAATTGCTTGAGAAATATTATGTTGAATGGCATTCATCAATATTAAATTTAGAACTTCAATTTAGATTTGAGTAGAAAATCAAGTGTTTTTTTTGCGTCACGAATATTTTACTAATAAGCGGAACACAAAATTGCCAAAAAGAATCATTGACGAAAGATAACTTTTTCGAGCAACGGAAATAAATCGGAGTGATTACGATTATCGCTTATGCTGATGCATATTATTGAAAATTTCCTGATGTTTGACCTGAGAATTGCTGAATTGCAATATTTTCTTATATAAATTGAGAATGGACCCAACAACAGCACACTTCTTCGACCTAATCTGTGTCCAAGATGTGGTCGCAAATACTACTGTGCCTTTTGGGTAAGTACACATTAAAAAATTTTTATTTATTTTTTTTTCACTATTTTAATATTTATTATATTTCTATTTGTTTTTTTGCATTTTTTACATATATGTTATTTTGAGTTTTTGTTAGATTTTGAATTTTATGTTCAATATTTGGAAATTTATGGTAAGAAAAAAATTTCTTGCTGTTTATACATTACTTTTAATAACTAGATTAAGCAATTTTTTAAATTATAGATTTTAATAAGTTTTTTATTTATTTTGGTGGCTAAAAATAATTAATTACCTGTGAAATATGTATAAATTTTGTTGTCGTAAAGATTTTACTATTTATTTATTTATTTTTAGTGGGTCTTGCTTTTGCTTCCGAAAATCCGGGATGGAATAACAACTACCACTACGTATACGAGGTTCGAGGTCGGTCTTTGGCCGGTCTCAACCAAGTCAGTGATGAATACAGCGGTATAATTTTCAAAGCTGAACTGTACATCCAACCCCGATCTGATGGAAATCTCGGTGCCAAAATTTCGAATGCCCAGTATGCGAAAATTCATAAAGAATTGCGTGAAGGGTGGGAAACCGAAATTCCTGATTCCCAAGTTAGCTACCAACCGCTACCCCTTTCGTCCAAACCTTTCCAGATTGGTTTGTACAAAGGAGTGATCAGGAATGTCATGGTTGACAAACAGATCAAGAATTGGGAAGCCAATATGATCAAGAGTGTTGTCAGTCAACTCCAACTTGATACCAAGGCTACGAATTTGATTCCAAGCTCTATCAATATCCTCACCCAGGAAGACTCAAATACTGCTGTTTTTAAAACAATGGAAGAGACTGTTACTGGAGTTACTGAAACTTTGTACGAAATCCATCCGTATCCTGAATACGTTCTCCAGTCTAAACCTTGGGTTGTTCCTCACAAACATTTGATTGAGGATGGCGATGTTATTGAAATTGTCAAAAACAAGAACTTTACCAACTCTGAACAATCTCCTTCTTATCACGCTGGACTTGATGGCATCTACGGTTACCAACCAGGAAACAAAGTCGGGAAATTTCTATCGAGAACTTCCGTCAGTCAGGCTGTTATCACCGGCACTTTGGATAAATATGTCATCCAAAGTTCAGTCACCGTTGAACAAATTGTCATTCGTCCAACTTTGGCCGACCAGAAGAAGGGTTCTGTCAACAGCAAATTAAATGTGACTCTCTTACAAGTAGCACAACCAGTCAGGGAAAACGAATATGATGTTTCCAGCCCTGTTGATGTTGGTGTTGTTTATGCATATGACAGCCCTTACAGTACTGACAATAGCCCTCGTCCTGCAAAACAATACGACCATGGAGTTGCTCCCGGCAGTGCTGAATCTCAATACGACACCACTAACCAATACGAAGGCAGAACCAAACGTGCCATCACAAGACCAAAGCTTCAATATACCTCCTTCTCTTTGGATAACTATCAACCTGATAGTATTGAAGAAGAAGATTGGCACCAGGACAAACCCCACTTTAATGAAGCTCCTGCATCTCCTTTGTTGCCTTTCACGGTTGGATTTGATGGACAATCTTTCAAGAAACAGAAAAATGTCATTGAGACTGTGAGGAAACTTGCTGAAGAAATCGGCCAAGAGTTCCCCCATGAAAAGGAAATTCTTCGCCAACATACCGTTGGTAAATTTGTCACCCTTGCCAGTCTTGTTCGAATCCTGAATCAAAATGAAATCCAACAAGTCGCCAGTCAGTTGTACAGCGGAAAAGCTCAAGGATTGAAATCGCCTTCATGGGTTGCTTTCCGTGATGCTGTCGCCCAAGCTGGGACAGGTCCAGCTCTCTACAATATCAAAGAATGGATTTTGAGCGGAAAGATTGAAGGACGGGAAGCTGCACAAGTCATTGCTGTGGCCGCCAATGCTGCACGTCAACCAACCGAAGAGTATATGAAGTTCTTCAATGAAATGATTCAAGATGAGAAAATTATGTCTCAACAATACTTGAATGAATCTGCTCTTTTGTCGTACACAAACCTCGTTCGCCAAGTTTACGTTAACAGGGGAGACTCTCACGCCAAATATCCAGTTTACAGTTTTGGGTCTTTCCGTACCACCCGTGGCCAGGAATACGTCAAGAAAAATGTCATCCCTTACTTGACCAGAAAACTCAATGAAGCTATCAATAATGATGACACGCAACAAATACACATCTACATTCGTGCTCTTGGAAATATTGGACATCAACAAATTTTAGAAGCTTTTGAACCTTACTTGGAAGGACAGAAGAAAGCTTCTCATTTCCAACGTGTCTTGATGGTCGCTGCTTTAGACCGACTTGTTGAATCCAATCCTAGAGTAGCCCGATCTGTTTTGTTCAAGATTTACCAAAACCCAAGCGAATATGAACAAGTTCGTGTTGCTGCCGTGTACCAGTTGATGCGTACTAAACCCACCCCTGCAATGCTCCAACGTATGGCTTCTTACACCAATGTTGACACTAGTGACTATGTCAACGCCGCTGTCAAATCGTCGATTGAATTTGCTGCCGATTTGCAAGCTCCTGAACATCACAAATTGTAAGTACATCTATCTATAGAGTCCTTTAGATTTATTTATTTAATAACAACAAAATTCCATAGCCGTCATGCTGCTCAGTCAGCCAAACCTCTGTTGACCAGCAAACAATATGGTGTCCAGTACTCTCAAGGATACTTGCGTAGCTACATTGTCAAGGAATCTCAATCACTCTTTGAACAAAACTTGCAAATGCTTGGTGGTGAAGATCATGCCGTTCCAAGGGGAATTAAATACTTACTCGAAAAACAATTTGGTGGTGTTTACCAACAAGTTGTTAACACACATGCTATGGTTTCAAGCATTGAAGATTTAGTCAGTGTTTTCCAACAACAAACCGAAGAGTACAAGAGACAGCAAAAAGAAAAACAACACGAACAAGCTGTAAACTATCCCTGGTCTAGCGAAAATGTTGCTAAACTTTTGCATCTCCAAAACGAACAAAGAGAACAACTTGAAGGCAATTTGTACTTGCAAATGGGTGCTTTGCAAAGCATCTTTTCTTTCGATAATCACACTATGGACAGTTTGCCTGAATGTAAGTTTTAAATTCTTTCTATTTTTGCCATTTCTAATATTGTGTAATTTGCAGTGGTTCGCAAATGGGAAGAAGAATTCAAACAGAACAAACACTACGCTTACAGCAAAATGATGATCGCTCAAGAATCGTCCGTTGCCCTTCCAACTGTTTTGGGATTGCCCTTCATTTACACCTACGATCGCCCCGCACTCATCCGAGTTGAAGGAAATGTTAAAGTCGAAGCTAACCCACACATCTCATCAGGAGAAAGCCTTAAGAGGCCTGATAATGTCAATGTCGACTTTGACGTCCACGCTGTTATTTCCGGAAGGGTTCAAACCCAATTATGCATTTTTACTCCTTTCGACCATCAACGTTACAGCGCTGGTTACAATAAGAACTTCCAACTTGTCTTCCCATTGAACGGAAAGATGGAATTGGATGTTCAGAAGAAGCAACTCAAAATGGAATTGCAAAATCCTGGCAGTCAAGAAAGTGTTAGATTGGCTCATTACAGCAGTTGGCCATACACCTCTCAAAGCGACATTTACACCCCTAAACCCGACTTGAAGATTATTCATTCTCAACATCCCCACAGAATTAACACTGTGGTGGGAGACAAGTCTACAGGAGTTGCAGTATATTTGCAGATCACTAGTGACCATAGGATCGATCCTGCTTTCATGTATGAAAGGCTTCGTCATCACGATTTGGTTTCTGCCGTTTTAGACCCTTGGGTGGATGATACCATTCAATACGTTCATATTGATGTGGGAATTGACTCAAGCAAGTCAACGGCTCAACAAGTCAACCTTCATTTGGGATACAATTATCAATATCAATCAACTCAAGCCCAGGAAAACAACTCCAACGATCAAATTAATGACATTCCTGCTTTCCCCGACAGTCCAGAAAAGAGACAGCAAGAGTTTGTTGACAAACTTGGAAAATACATCAACAATCCTCATATTTTCGTTGCTGACGCTACTGCTGACTTCCAAGGACAATACAAAGTCAAATACTCTGCTACTTTTGGTGTTGCCAAGAGCAATGTTAATCCTCAAAGCCGTTTCATGGGTTACGCTAGGAAAGTTGAAAAACAAAACCCACAAGTTTTGGCTTACGTTCAAGGAATTTCTCATGTTCCTAACACTAATGGCCTCAATTTGGATTATGCCATGGAATTTGATCCAACAAGCACAACTAATGTTCAAGGATTACTTCGTAAAGATCAACGCCTTTCTCGAGTAGATGCTCATATTGAATTAAGCAAGAGTGAACAACGTAAGGAATATTTGAAACAACAAGAGGAATACAAAGAATGCAAGCATCAAATGCAAGAAGGAAACACACAATTGCCTGTTTGTGCCAAGATGGCTATCAGAGCAAATCTTTTGGATACATTCTCAATTAAAATGAAATACAATGATATGGATCCCCGTGTTATCAATGCCACTTATAAGACTTACAGCGTTTTGCGTCATTTCTTCTATCCAAGGGTTGAAGAAAATATTGTTGAACCATCATCTGATAATCGACTTGATATTCAAGGACAATTCAGTCCCGATTTGCACGCTGTTAACATTTCAATCAACAGTGAATATGGCAATGTCCAAGTAAGAAACGTCGAAGTAGGCAAATGGTATAGAGAAATGTTTATCCCTCAACCAGTTTTCCACGTCAGAGCTCGCCTCCAAGGAGAAGCACTTAAATATGACACTTACAGACGTGAGTAATTCATTTTTGGTGTTTTGTTAATTTATATTAATTGTTTTCCTTTAGCAATTTGCGTCGTCGACAAAACCCATACCAGTACTTGGGACAACAAAACCTACCCCACAAGCTTCTCCAATGGCTGGACTGTGCTTCTTCAGTACGTTCCTCGCAGACCATCATCAACTCAAAACAAACCATACGAATCTGTTCAAGAACAATTAGACCAACTTATCGAATCTTACATTGTCTACGCTCGAGCTTCTGAACAAAGCCAATCGCAAAAAGAAATCCAAATCGTTTTGCAGATGCCCCACACTAATGGTAAAATTGTGAAAATCTTGATGAAGCCATCAAGCCAAGGCAAAGGACCTAAAGTCTTTGTCAATGAACAAGAAGTTAAATACGACACCGAACATGCTTCGTATACTTACGACGGTGCTATCCAAATCTACGGCTTGCCTAACCAAGAAGTCAAACTGGAAATTTGTGATGCTTTTTATGCCATCTTCAATGGCCAAACCCTTAAACTTACCGCCACTAACAGCAAATTCAGAGATGCTTCCCGTGGTCTTTGCGGCACTTTCACCGGTGAAGAAGAAACCGACTTTTTGGGCCCCGATAACTGCATTATCCATACTCCAGAAAAATTCATGGAAAGCTACACCATTGGAAAAGAACTCATGCAACGCGGCTCCCAAATGAGACGCAGTGCTGACGACAAACAATGCTATTACAAGAAGGTCCACTATGCTAACTACATTTCCAACCAAGATGCTGGCCGTGCTACTGATTTTGAAAAAAGAGGAAGAGGTTCATGCAGCAAATTACAAACTCGTTATGTAGAAGAAAATGGTGAAATCTGTTTCACCATCCGTCCATTGCCTGTGTGCAAGAGCCGTTGCCAACAGCGAGGAACAATCTACAAGAACGTTCAAGTTTATTGTTCAAGACCCACAAGCAGCACTAGTTTGTGGAAGAACGAAATTCAAAAGGGTGCTAGCCCCGACTTCAGCTTGCAACAAGTATCCAAGACCATTCAAATGGAAATGCCCAAAGAATGTTTACCGTAATCAAATCACGACCACAAATTTGTCTTTGCAGTTACACTAGTATTTATACGAGCATCCACAAAATGTAAAAAAAATATATAAAATAAATTCTTTAGAATAACTTGTTGGTTTTTCTATCTCCACAAAAGACTTAAATACATATAAAGAAGATCAAAAGAAAGAGAATAGTTGAAAAGCTGATAACTTATTAACGCCAGCAAGGTTTTAATTACGTAGTTAAAACTAAATTTATTAGTAAGGTGTGGAGCATGTGCAATTTTAAGTGTAGCTATAAAACAACTAGAAACAAAGTCAAAGCAATATATAAAAACATAAACCTATATATATGCCGCTGAGAAGAAAATTAAGTAACATGAAGAGAATACGGATTTATGTTATATGAAACACTAAAGTATTTTTCATTAACTTGTATGATAATCAAAGCACATGTATATTTATGGGCATAAAATAAAACCAAGAATCAATTTTAACAAAATACTTTATTATCACTCACTGGTTCACATTTAAAAAATTCTAATTCTTCCATTATTCAGATATTATACAATAAATTAAGTATTTTAAATGTATAGGTAATTAGATAATAAACTAATCTAGTTCAAAGAATTTTGTAACCATTTCTGGCGAAAGATAAAATGATAGGTATTTATTCTAGGAGTATGTTTTGATTGGCAGTATTGTAATCGATCTTTAAATAATATTAGAAACCACTACTGTATTTACAATTTACTATTACGTATAATGTTGATGAGGTATGAAGTGCATCACTTTTTCCATAATGCGATGAACGCGACACCTCTACAACATGTGCAAAAATATTGCAACATCACTTACAAAGTAATGGAGAAATCTGAAGCAAACTACGTTATTTAAAATAAAATCGAAATTAAATAGGAATCAAAATAGCCGAAATTTGGCACCTTTTACAATGACTAGTGTACTATTAGCTCTGAAGAAATATAATAGTATTGAGTCATACAAACAGGTCACGTTAGAACCGAGTAATAATAAATAACGTTTGATAAATTGCGATTCCTTCTCCATTACTTAGAATAAAACCAAAATGCATTTAAATATGAGCAACATTTAAAATAATGCTGCTTTGGATTAAAAATAACTCTGCTTTATTTTACTCTCTTTTGGCTTTCTGAAACTAATCTTCAATATCATTGTCAATACGACTACTGCGAATTCCAGTGTTTCCAGTCCAAGGATAAATATCAGGACAAGGCTGACAAGTTCTCATGTATCGTACTCCAGATTTGTGCCATAAGTTACACACTTTTGGATTGTTGCATCGTTTTGGCCGATTCTATACAATTACCAGTTACAACTCTATTTTAAAACATATTGTTAAAAACTTACGGAAAAGTCACACTGGAAGGGTTGGAATGAATTTAATCGTGAAATAGGTGTAGGATCTCGGACCCACTGGATAGCTTGCCAGTTGGTAACCAACCATACATCTTTCATTTCCAGAATGCTGTCGAGAAAATTGATGAAACCTTCTTTGTGATGTGGTTGTGTAAACCATGCAGCGTGATAGAACAGGCCAAATGGTGCTCTATACAGAGAAATCAGTTGTTAGGTGTTGACTTTATTTCATGTCCCTGTTACCTGTTGGTTGTGTAGTGTCTTTGGAAGTTTTTAGTTAACATTTTGAAAACACCTTCGGCATCAGGAGGGTTGCTACAAGCGTCTCCCATTGAGCATCTTCCTCCGTTTAAATCTTGCCACATAACCATAGGTACTTCCCATACTCCAGGATAGGAACGTGTAGGGCATGGTGGGATCATGCAGTCGTGGAATAATTTGTAATCAAGGGTGTATGGCCAACTTGGCGGTTTGTTTTCATAAATAGGCATGGATGAGTCGTACGTGAAGTTTGAATCGTATAACATTTTGAACATCTTGTTTCCACCAACCTGTAAAAACCAGAGATGATTAAATATAATTAATTAAAGCTGACTCAAGTACCGATAAAAATGGGGCTCTCATTCCTCGGACGTCTTCCAAGTGCACTCCACCATAAGCAGATAATATTTCTCTTTGTCCGGCGACTTCGCGTGTCCATTTTTTTTGGGAGAATTGTTCTCCAAAACTGTGCCTATTATCAGAAACAGAATTAAAGTCATTTTGGTGTCATTAACTCTGAATTTTGTTAGTTTCTAAGAATCGAAATATTAGTAGAAGCGTCGGGTTAAAAGCCTACGTTTTGTTCTATTTCAATCGACAACTGGTTATACAGGGTGCATATGATGATACTTTGTGCATTTTTGTTCAATGAACTTACGATACTGTATGAGAAGCAATTTCATGACCATCAGAATACAAGTTTTGAACTTGACTATAATCAGTCCATTCATGAGAAACGTAGAAAGTTGCAGCAATTGGACATCCATTGGGGTTGGTTCTCCCCTTTTCAAACAAATCACTATACAAGCCCTTGTTCAAATCATTCACCGAATCGTCGAAGGTGAGAAGCACGAGTTGTGGCACTTGTTCGACTGGTAGGTCGGCTATGTTGTTAGTAGCAGCAACAGAAAAAGAAGGAAATAAGTTAGAAACTTATAGCGTTTATATGTAAATAGAATTTAAATTAAGTGCAAGTAACAGATTTGAGCAGGACCCTGGGCCAAAAATGGGCCACTTACGACACGGTGTGCGATGCCATCTCATGACCATCGGCATAAAGGTTTTGAACCTGGCTATAATCAGTCCATTCGTGAGAAACATAAAATGTTGCAGCTATGGGACAACCATTGGGATTCCGACGACCACTTTCAAATAATTCTATATAATACTGTTTGTTTAAATCATTGACAGCGTCATCAAATGTAAGAAGAACTATTTGAGGAACTTCTTCAACTGGTAGATTTCCTATTTTTTATATAAATTAGTTTCTAAATTTTTATTTGTTTGGATAAGTTATTTATACGAACTAAACCTACCCGGAATTTCTTTTCCTCCACAACTGCAGTCAGGTAGTAAGCAAACGTCTTTTCGGCATTTGGCTGCAGTTTTGTCAGGTTGAGGTTGAGGGTAAATTGGGGCAGGTCTAGACGGAGGATATCTATAGATGTCGATGAATTCAGAAGCTTTGGATACGATAGAAGTGGATGGTTTCAGAGTCGGGCGAGGCCGCCTGTAATTTTATTAAAGTCACACACGGGCTAAACAAGGAATAGAAACGAAAAGATTTATTTTAAAAACAATACTTAAACACATTTTTACATTTAAACAAATTGCACATTTTTATTTTGAAAAAGTAATTATAGAGATTAATTTGATGTAACTGACAACTTAATTCGGATTAGTTTAGTCCTGAATTAAATTGTATTTCGCCTTTTCAAAATCGATTAATGGCAAATTAAAATTTCATTCTCACTTTTAAACAAAAGTGAATTTTCGATAAATGTTCATGTTTGGACGCATCAAAACGCTAATTAGATGCTAGCATCTTGATGTCATATCAGGCGAATCGGAGGGTTATTTAATCGTACGACTGTAAAGGGCGCAAAAAATAGTAAACATGAAATTGTGTAATATTCGAGTTATTTTGTGACGTAGCAAATGGCGGAATTGTGCAGTCCCGAACAAAAAACTTTTACAACAAAACTGTTACAAAGTGGGTTTTTGTAGATCTTGCCGTTTTTTGAGAGAATTAATACGGTAACGAACAAATCAGTCTTAGCCTTGCTCCCGTATTAGTTAACTGAATTGTAATATTTGTCCGAATAAATTACTTATTTCGTGGTTCAGTGCAAAATTGATTAACAATGGGGGCTGTATCATCAGTGCGAGCGTGTTAGGTGCCTAATAGACATTTAGTAGTGCGCGATTTTTCTAATTTCAAATTATTAGTGAGTGCCAATAGGGGAAATGGAGGAAGCAATCATGCTATAAGGATCCGGATTAAAGGGTTAGTCAACAATATCTTTTAGTGTGAAATTCTCCACTGTTGTTCTTGTCCTTAAAATGCTGATACTTGATTCCGGCGAAAATGGTATTATTATAGGACACAGGATAAATAAAACTATTAAATTCGTCGCGACGTTTCGATACTTTATTGTATCATCTTTAGGCGAAGAATTCTTGTTAGTTGAATACGGGAGACATGGCACAGTCAAGGAGTTCTTCCTTCGCGGAAGAATATAATACCATTTTCGAAGTAATCAAGTATCAATACCTTTTAGTTTTTTTAGAAAAATCGCATTTAAATTTTATTTAATATTTTCAACTGATTTAAAAAACACATTGAACTGATTTTGTGTTTCTTTATTTTCAGTAGGTCCGTTTAAGAAGCAGAGGCTAATTGCTACAAAGAGTAGCAGAAGAAGATGCCATATAAGGTCAGTGCACTTTAATATTTTCTTTATTTGTTTAACGCCAAGTGAAATGTATAAATTTGTAATTTTTAAGTGCAACAGTAAGTATTTATTAAATTATGGATAGAAATTAATTGTGTTTTAGATAAAAATGTTATTTCTCAAATTCTTTTTAAAAATTCGTAGAAAACGAGTGCGAATTTACTTTAATAATAATTTTAACGAAAATTTGGGAGTTTTTTATGTTTTAAGAAAACAGCAAGAACAACTCTAAGTATTGTACAAATTTATATTTTTTCCAGAATAAACGTTTAATTGTTTTTTATTTCAGAAACTGCAATGACTAGTGAGTACATGTTGTAATTTTTTGAGTGTTTAATAGACATTTAGTAGTGCGCGATTTTTAAAATTTTAAGTGATTAGTGAGTGCCAATGGGGGAAAGAAGGCAATCGTTCTACAAGGATCCAGATTAAATGGGAAGTCAGCAATACCTTTTATTTTTTTAGAAAAATCACATTTAAATTTTATTTAATATTATCAACTGATTTAATAACACATTAAACTGATTTTGTGTCTCTTCATTTTCAGTAGGTCCGTTTATGAAACAGAGGCGAATTGCTACAAAGGGTAGCAGAAAAAGATGCCATATAAGGTTAGTGCATTTTAATTTTTAATTTTTTTGTTTATCGCAAAGTGAAGTGTGTGAATTTGTGATTTTTAAGTGCAACAGTAAGTGTTTATTAAATTATGAATAGAAATTAGTTGTTCTAAATTTTTTTGCAAAATTTGTAGAAGACGAGGCTGCTACCAAACAGTATAAAAGTAAATTTTGAAATTCTAAAATTAAATTCAAATAGCATGTGAATTTATTGCGCATTTAATCTTTCACGCCAATTTATAACGCGTCAACTGTACTGTAATTTATCAAAAATAAAACTTTTTAAAATTTTTGTTGACAATGCGTTTCCGAAGATATCAATTTTGAAATGATTTATATGCTTAGAATTAGAAAATTTTGAATCTGTTTTTAATAAAAAATTGTAATATTTTTTTGTAATTGTAATATTTAAGAAGATTTTACATAAAACCCTTGGTAACGGTTTAGAATCGGTTAAAACTACTTACGATGCTGGTGTTCCTCTATTGACAGTGACAGTAACTTCATTGTTGACAATATTTCCTCCATTAGCGTAATGTGTGGATCCCCTGCCTCTAGTACTGGTTCTTAAAGAAAAATGTGTTATGAGTTGTGGTCCATTACAATCGCGAGTGCATAATAAGTTGCAGTTCACCACTCATGCACATTAATTTTGTTCTTTACTTATAATTAACCTGATTATTTCTACCAGATGCGATGACAGAATTACCGTATGTATATGAGATGAGATCAACTATATGTGTTAAGTGTGCTAGTGTTGTTACATGTCGGGATAAGAGGAGTCCAAGTCAACTTCCAGTCTCATAGGTTTCGAATTAATAGAGTGATTGGTCATAACATAAAGCGTGAAAGAAATATCAGTTTGGTTAGGAAAAAGGGTGCAAAGAGGTTAAAGAAAGAGAAGAGACGGTGATCCATGCAAATTATCTAAATTTTGCAACAATATACGACTATTTTAAGAGGAATAAATACCTCTGATGCTTTGGGTCGTGGCATTTTGAATAGGCATTTTGATTTTCGTGACATTTTACGTTTTGCCTTTGCGTTCCCCCGACTGCAATTAGTGATTTAATTGCAGTGTTAACCCGGGATACTCTGGCAGGAATTGAGGTACTGGGGGAAGAGTCTGTAGTTGTGGTCTTAACAGTCGAAGTCGTCGTCGTTGTTTTTGTTGTTTGTGCAACTGGTTTGGGATAAGGCTGTATTTTATAATCTGGAGATTGATCAGGTTCTTGCTTTGGTTTGAAACTATCATCAATTAAATCGTGTGGTGGGGGAATTTCTATAGTTGTGCGGAAACGTTTGGATTCAGAAGACACATTAAAATGGTTATATGGTTCTACGTAATGCCGCAACTTGCTCTCTTCATGAGAATTTATTATTTCATCATCAATGTAATAATCATCTGCTTTGCTCGGATTATAAACAACGCTTATAGACTCTGAAGACACTGGTAAACTTTCAGAAGAAGTTGGAAGTTTAGTTTCTTTGGTGGTTGGTTCATCAATGTATTCGTCCGATAGTTTTTCTTCGCTAGTTTGTGAATGACGATCATGTAAACTATTTTTAATATTATCAACGTCTGAAACTAACTTTTCAGCAGATTCAAAATTTGAGCTTGTTACAGTAGATAATCCATAATTAACATTAATAGGACTGATTAATTTTCTTACAGACTTTAATGTTTTATGCGGTTTAGTATCAGATAAATTAGGAATAGTAGTGCTGTCAGTAAGAGATTTGGGTAAAAGAGATTTGAGGAAAAATTTTGGAGGTGAATAAGTTGTTGGAACAATAATAGTTTTATTTTTTAAGTCAGAATTATTGACGGTAGAAGTTTTACTAGACAATTCCGTAGAGACTAGAGTAGTTGACCTGGGTGATTTAGTAATGTAATGAAATATAATGGGTTTTTCTGTTGTTAAATGCTCAGTTAACGCAAAAGGCGCTGGCTTGTAAACAACTGCTTCTGATAAAAGTTTGGATTGTGTGTCAGGTAAATGTGGTCTGAAGGTAGTGGTTTCGTCTAGTCCAAGGCTAGAATTATGTTTGGGATCAATGGTATGAGGAGTTAAAGGATGTGGTCCCGGGTCATCTCGTAATGTATTAATGATAGACTGTGCTTGTGTTTTGTTCTCATGGGCTGTGACTGGAAGTCTGCTAAAATAAACGGTCTAGCATCAAAATACTATTAAAATAAATCAATTTTCTAAATTAATGACGTTAGTCCTTGCACTACAATAAGCGCTCAACTATACTATTAGTATGGTTTTGTTAGAACTACTACACATTTCTTGTATTTTTTGTGGGGGAAGTGGAGACAATACAGGAATCTAAGATACTACAAAAGACGGGCGAAGCTTTTCGCTATGATTCTACAATCCCAATATGGTTATGAATGAGATGTAAGCCGTCTAATTTCTTTTCAGTTTTTGTAGTACCTTGGGACTGTACTCTTTTTAGAGGGAAATGTTCGTAAAGTCGTTGTTCTAGTGGTAGTTTTTCTAGATGTGGTAGTAGTAGTTCTTTTAGTCGACGCTTCTTCTAAATAATTCAAATCATTCCTGTCTCCCCTAAGATTATATTTATACACAGGTACTAGAGATGTATATTCAACACTTACCTTGTTGGTTGTCTGTTTACTTGTCTGTACGCGTTTTGATCTTCCACCTACAAATCAAAACAATATTAGCAATGACAGATGCAAGCAAACAATGTTGCACCTGACGTACTTGACTGTTGTAATTGTTATCATCGTTGTAATCAGAATTTGAATTCGGTTGGTAATTGTAATTATTCTGAATATATCCCGAGGTGCCGCGCTTGGGAGCCTCCTCTTGAGTTGATTGGATTACCGGTGATGGAGTTCTCCTGTAGTGAGGTGTTTGACTTTGAGCAGCGTTGTTGTTATTATTATTATACTGCTGCGAGTAATCTAAAGGAACTTAAAATTACTTCCATACACTTATTTTAGTAGAAAACTAACCGTCATCTCTATACAACTCAACATCATCATCGTATAAGGCATAGTAAGGATCGTAATTATTATTATTATATTGGCTGCTATTATATAAAGCCCTTGCGGTCGCTGTAGCTGTGGAAATGGCTGGTTGTACTGGTGCGGCACTACTTGTGTCAACCCTAAATTCAATTAAAGTGTCACAACACTCAACAGAAAAAATATATTGTGCGTTGGAATATTACCTTACTTTTTTGTCATCGTCAGTAAGTCTTTGTCGTTGTTTGCTTCTCGAAGGTCGTGTCGTCGGTATTGTCAATTTAGATTTGCGACGTGTCGTATATTTTGGTTTTTGTGTGGTCGAACTAACAGTAGAGGATGAAGCAAAGGTCTCGCTCGTTAACAATTTTTTGGTTGTAGGACGCACCGAAGTTGTTGCAGTTTGTGGAACTCGAGTAGTTTTTATTACTTTGAGAGGTTTTCCTTGATATTTAGCCGAGTATTTCATTTCACCATTTTTACTGACATTCACCGGTTTATTATTATTTTTTTGAGGATAATCGTACTCTTCCTCGTAATAATAATCATTGATTGGTTTCGGTAATGTTTTTAAGGTAGGTTTAATTTGACTAGAATAAATTTTTTTCGGCGCTTCATTTGTCTCATACCTACCCACGTCATCTTCCTCATATTCGTAATAGTAATACTCGTTCGGTTGATCAGTTTTTGGAGGAATTGTGGATTTTGGTTTAGATTCTACCTTTTCAACTGGGTTTGGGACAGTTGTAGAAGGCTCTTCACGTAAGCCAGACAAAAATTTGTCAAAGTCAAAATGAGGATTTGCAAAAGGGTTTTCAATACTTTCATATTTATTTTTTGTATTAAAATAAGAAGCAGGAGGGCCAAAAAATTGTTCAGGAAAGTCAGGATACTCCGCTGTTGCTTTGTTATTTTCTTCTTCTTTAGAGTTATCACTATACATGGGGGTACTTGTCGTACTGGCAGTTGACAGGTTAATATTGGGGTTTGTTATTTGAATAGATGAAGTGTTGTGGTTTATTATATGTGTGTGTTGTGGGAGCATTAGATTTTTGTGTCTGTAGTAATCTATAGTATGTCTAAGTTTATTTGGTTCTCTTAAAATTGGTTTTATTGGTCTAAACGTAGTAATAGCCGTAAAATAGTCATTACTAGTTGAAGTAAAAGGTACTTTTTTTGCAACTGTATGAGTTGGTACTTTATGATAATTGGGAACAAAAGGTTTAAATTCGTTATCAATCAGTGGGCTTGGTACGAAATTATTTTTTTGATAACTAGAAGAAAAAACAGGATTTTGTAAAGGAGGGGGTTGTAGTGTATAAGGACCTATGTTTAATCGCGATGTTTGAAAATTTTGTTGACCACCACGCCATGAGGTTTCAATGGAACGTATACGACTAGAAATAACATAATTTTGAGTTTGTCTCGTCGTATTGTCCGTGAGTTACCTTCGTTGCGTTTGTCTTTTACGTCTCCTCTTCAAAGTCAAGTCATTACTAAGTTTATCGTCAATTGTGCTAATGTTGAAATAGTCAATTTGATTTTTTTGAAATGTTTATTACTCACCTGTACTGTTGCTGTTGTGGTTGCTGCTGCTGTTGTTGAGTACCAAATGATATAACCCCTATCCGTTCACTCCGTCCATTGTAAGTCTAAATAAACTTTTATAATTTGCTTCATTTAGTTTGTAAACAACTTACAGGAATTGCATTTGAATGTCTTAACCCATCCCTGTCTTTTTGGACTTGACCAACTGTAGAGGGTTGGCCTCGATAAACACGTTGTTGGCGATCGCTTTCGACCTCTTCTGCGGGTGGAAGAGTTTCTTCTGCATCCGCATAGAGTTGTTGCTGTTGGCGTTGCTGTAATAATTTATTTAAATCTTATATTTCAACATATTTGATTGATCTCACTTTTATTATTTCTTGTTGGTTGTGTTGAAGTTGTCTGGGTTGTCCTCGAGAAGTAACAATTGCTGCCGGTTGAGCCGGGGGTGGTGTTGGCGGTGTGTAACGTGTTCTAGGTTCCTCTCGGGTTCTGCTAGGTGGACTTGCTGATGTTGCTGCCACTGGGCCAGATATTTCAGCACCGTCACATCCTACGTTTCTTGGCCAGTCACATGTTTGTAATTCATGACTGTACATGAGTCCACCTGTACAAGATTCCAGCAAAGCTCCTCCAAAAACACATACGTAGTACTGCGTGCAGTCATTTGGGTGAGGGTAGTAGCCGAATTCTTCCGGACAGTTGAAATTTGCGACAGTTTTGACTTCACTTCCTAAGGCTACATTTCTACTGACCTTCCGCTGACATAAAGAAATATCTGAAACAAAAATGTAGGTGTGTCAATGGAAAACAACAAATTTACTTATTATTCGAATTTGTTTCCAAGCTAAAAGAAAATCAAATATTTTACTCAGTCTTATAATGTCAAGAGCAATCTGCTAATAATTTACAAAGAATAAATGACAAAGGTATATTATTCTTTATACTGAAAATAATTGTGTTTTAATTTGTTATTTATTGTTGTCATAAAATTAGTTACGTTTCTACAGTTATACACACACCTATATTATTTTCCGTCTTACATAGGAGTGCGAAAATTTATTGTTAAGATTAGATAATTTATTATACATTGGGCCCACGTACCAAAAGAAAAATTAATTCAAAAGATCATAGCTGCTCAAACACTCATATTATACTAACTACATATTATATAAGATAAAAGTTGGCACATTAATATTCGTTTAATTATTTGCAATTGTACAGTTTTTGATATTTTTTAATACAGTCACTAAATATGAGTTATTTTGTGTTTTTTATTAAAAAAGTAAACGTGGTAACATTCCAAAGCAATGAAGCTCTAATTGTTAGTTCTGAGTACAATGTTGCCATTTCATGCACTGTAACATTTTCACGTGATATACAGTAGGTATAATATTAATATTTACGTTAATCTAAAAAAATATTCAATTAATAAATAAAATAATCGTTTTAAAATGTTTTCGTAGTAAGATGATCTGATATTTTTTCGCAGCTTTCTAAACTCTCACTTTACTAGATAAATCTTTGGATTTATTGCACTATTTTTGTATATTAAATTGGCTGCGTATTCAAATAAATGTACTGTTACAAATATTCGTTTGAAGAAAAGATTTATGAATATCCACGAAGATAAAACAACCATTTGACTTGTTTCCTAATGTGTTTGTAGGATGGATAATGCAAATTGATTTTATCGCAAAACTTCACCGAGCGTGCATTTAAGTGTCACAAATATAAATTATGTGCCAATTTGTCAAAGCGATTTAACAAAATGTTACCATAAAATATGCTTAAATTTTATTGTATGATATCAATGCGTTTATTCAAACGTCATAAACAAAAGCAATTTAAAAACTTGGGGACAATAGAAAGAAATCAGACGGAAATCAGACGTGAAACCATTAAAATTATGTATAATTAGGTCGCAAGTTACTTTCTATTATGTAAACAGTTGGTAAGTAATATTTAACGGTTTTAAATAACCAGACCAATTTGTTGTGTTCGTGTATTAAGCCGAGAAGCTGAAAAAGAACAATAAATTGCCTTAATTTATGCGAATTTAGCTGCATCCAATTTTCCTATTTAATTTACTTGAACATCGATGAGAGCACACCATAATCCAAGTCTAGCCAAGAATTTTAAATTGTTTAGCGTTACCTCATCGATAACGATCTATTGTATGATTTTGGTGAAATGGTTTTCAAGTTGAAAATAATCTCACTACAAGCAATTTCACTTAACCTTGACCCTTCAATAAATTGCATAGATGTAACCTTAAAAGTCAAACAAATTAACAGGATGTTATTTATATTTATGTAACAATATAATTGATATAATACGGATAACAATCTGAACCATATGTTAATAAGTTTTTTTTTTGCAATTTTGTAAGTTCATCACTAAAATCAATAATTCAAGATAATTTTGTACTATAAATAAATTAAGAGTCCTTCAAAAATCGAAAATCTAAAATCGTCACTCTGTTTTCTTCTATTTCAATTAAATAAGTTGCACCCACATGGCTTTAGTTTATTGTAGAAATAAAATAAGACCACATAGGCAAAAAAGCCGCAACATGAATATAAAAAATATTGTTCCAGAGCTTTAAATTTATTTCTTCGTGGAAAAGGATAATGTTACTAGTGGGAGTTTTTGTTCCGATTTATTTACTAGATAAAAGTGATCATGAGATTTGTGTGCCTAAGTTATGGCACAAAGTAGGCGTCTGAAACAATTATACCAGAAAGGTCAAGGTTTGCCATAACCGAAGAACTTTGAACCATGATGACCAAAAAAGTTGCTTCAGAAAATTTAAATGAATGATCTAGTTACTTATATCATATTTCTTTGTTGGATTTAGAGTTATTTATAGTTGTAGGTTTAATTATTTGATAAAATGATTCTGTAATGTCAGTTTAGTTGTAATCGTATTTTGGCAAGTTCTAGAAATGATAACAAAAGCTCTAAAAACCCGTATTACACTTCGACTGGCTGAGCATGACTCTAGTATTCTCCAAGTAAATGACATTTAAACAGGGAAATTAATTTGATTTTTCCATTCATCATTTGCACCAATCGTAAAAGCTGTAATAATTCAAACAAAGTAAAGAAATGAACAAATGATAGAAGTAAAGTGTCGATGTAGCAGACAAAAAAAATAAAAATAAAACTGACATTTATTCGCACACCAGCCGTGCTGTTGCAATGATTTGATAAGACCTAGAACCGGTTAAAAAGTCGGGCATTTGTTTATTTTTTTAGGCCGTGTCTGTGCTGCCGGCAACAGCACCCGAATGAGCTGCCGGATTTTGTGAGTTTTTTTTTAAATATAGACAAATTTTTATTTTTTAAAGGGGATGTGAGATAACTTTTGAAGTACTAACAAAATAACATTCTACTCATCTATAAGTTTCTCGATGATCTTCCTCGTGCAATATAAAAAGGTAAAAGACAAATTACTGCTTAAACAATTTCCGTACGCTATATGTCACAACTCTTTTTGAAAATGTCGACTTATTTTAATAAGAAAACATATTCAAATATTATTCAACCAAAAGTAACTCAGATCTTTTATAAAAAATGGTGGAAATAAATGAATGTAATGTGTTATCGCAGTTTCAAAATCTAAATAAGTGTCGTCAAAAATGTTCTGAAAATTTCATGAATGTATGTCTTGTATAGAATGACAAAACAGTGATACCCCTGAAAATTTTGTCAATGCAACAATGCTGACTTTTAGTTTGTTTTAAACTTGTAAATTATAACAGTACATTCATATATTCAGTACTTATTACCTATATTAATCTGCAACAATCGTATTTTTTTCGTGCGTCATTGTTGGCAGTGGAGGCACTACTTTTTTTAAATTCGTCCAGTAGGTGCGGTAGTTCACTTTTTAAATGTAATTTTAAGTGTAATTGCGGATCAAGAATTTCAAGTCATGTATAAATAGATTTATAGACCAGAACAAGTGAAAACATTGATAATTTTCTATTTTACATAGGGAGCAGAGCGTAATAACAGACGTTTTCGCAAATGACCCACATTGCCAGTAAAATTTAATTCATTATTCTTTATTCTCACATAATATTAAGGTTCAATTGTGTTTTCATTAAACGATCAAGATCTTTCGTCATTCAAGATCTTATCTTTTTATTTTGTTATTCGGAGGCAACTAGCTAGAGACCTTGTTTAATTATGTTTTTTTGACTATTGACAAAGGTCATTTTAGTTACCAAGTTTTTGACAAAAATAACTTTGATATTTAGCTAGTTACAACTTAATTTAATTAAACATATTCTTATCTTAGACACTACAATTACAAAAAGAAAAAAAAATTAATTATGTTTAAATATTTTTTATATTGTCTAAGAAATATTGGCAAATAATAAAAGTGAGAAAATCGATTGTCAACACTTTCTTCAAAATTCAGCTTTTTTACTAAATCCAATTTTAATCACTTCAGTAATTGTTATTGTTTTTGCGGGCCTTCATGGCTTTAAATTTGTTTTTTTAACAAAAATATATTTCTAAACATATTAAACAAATTGAGACACAAAATACTTACACATTTAATGAGCATTTCAAAGTAAAGTTGTTAAGCAGGCTAATACATTATTGACTTCAAAGTTTTTTTTTAATGTCTACATTTTCAAAAAATTGCATTTGAGGGTCAATTGTTTAAAACATACAATTTTGATGATGAAATAAATATTATAAATTACCAAACTTGCTACAATTTAAAGAACAAAAACGAAAAATGTTCTACTTTTGTAATGTTTTAAGGTTGTTTAAACATAGTTTCTTTGGGTAAAGGTATTGCACATGCTGCGTAATTATCTTTTTATAATAACCACAAGAATTTATTTAAATCAAGACTTTTTTATTATTTCAATTATAGGATTTGCTAAAGAATAAATTTCTTGTTTTTGGGCGTTGCAATTTTAAATTTAGATTAGATAACAAAAACAATAAATATTAACATAAACGTTATGTAATTTAATAAACGGTACATGTCTTCGAACAGTTGTTTCATTCAAGGTTAATCTAAAACGTAACAAAAATTTATCTGGGATGTTCCGTAAAAGATTAATGACTTGATTTAATTGTCTTTACGTAATATTGACCTTAACGTACGATGCTGTTAATTACGGATCATTGCCAGAAATTAATGACAGGCACCAAAACACGAATTATTGCAAGACAAAAGCACGATTCTTTATATTGCTTCTGAAGCCTAGCAACCTGGAACCTGAAACTATTAATGAAAACTCGTGAACGTATTGTGTAATCGAATCACAATAAATTGCAAAATTCAAACATTTGTAAACACTACAGTTGAATTAATTTTGACATTAAAAGAGTTTTTCCTATTTTTAAACCTTTCTCTTTAATCACATTTTTAAAGGTTTGTGTCAAAGGTGAGATATTATTTTTTCATATAAATATTTCAATTAGAGGACAAACAATGGATTTTACAATTATGACTATTTGATGAGCAAAGAATAGTTGGTTACATCATTCGCAAAATGTTAAGTCCATTACAATTATCTACGCTTGCATTTAGCTACTATATTATCTAACAGATAGCAATGACATTTCTGCTTTAGGAAATCTGCTTCTGAAGCAGATTTTTATTGAAATGAACTTTTTGAGGAAGCAATATTTATAAGTGTTTTCATAGGAAAAAGATGTTACAATAAATGTAGCTTAAAATTGAACATTTAAATAAACAAATACACTTTAAATTATCAGAGGCAAAAAAATTAACCCTGGTAT